AATCAGCCAAAAGTTCAGTGACACAGCGGTAATATTGGCTATAGCAGTGTCCAAGCGTTGCACTCAAGACTTGACTTGAGGTTGGCCTAAGACTTCCTGTTTTTGTCAGAACACTGCCCGCTATGCTTGGTGATGAGTGGCCTTCTAACGTGGCTAACACTTTGTGTGTGATTTGAAGTAAAATGGAATTTCAATTGTCGCAGGTGTGCTGTGATATGCCCTACCCTAAATAAAAATGATAATGAGGAGGACGACCCCTGGGACTTGCTTGACAACCGGACTGGTGACAAACTTAGTGGTAATATTATACGAAAGATAGTTTTCCCTCAAGCTCCATCCAATTTTCTATAACGGCTATAACTTTATCAAGGTATTATGATTTCTGCATTACATGAGATTGGGCAGTTCGACGGTTTTAATCCTCTAATAATCCCATGGTATCAAATTACCCACCCCTCCCTTCCCGTCTTCCTTCCAATCCCCTACTCCTTTTGACGCCTGCTACGCAGACTACACAAATTCTTGCTTTCCGTGCTCACCAGCCAGTAAACAGCTCAGGCTTTTTCTACTCAGGGGAAAGAGGGGGGATGGGAACTCTTCGATGATTCTGTTTGATCAATATTGATAACTTAAAAAACAGGAAAAAGGGATGGGCTCTGGCGTTACGCTTTAAATTCTTTAAAGCTTTATGCTACTTTAAAGTATTGTTTCGTAGCCAGTGCGCGTGCTGGCTCCACTGTAAGCAGTTTCTCAGATAAATGTAACCACAATCTGGGTCAAATGCGTGAGATTTCCGCCTTGCTATGATCGCCCGTGATTTTCGAAAACGTCCCAGCGTCTTCCGAGGATTTCCGATCATTTTCCGAAACCTTCTTAACCTTACCAAAAACTCCCAAAGATTTTCCGACGACCTTTGAGCACTAAAAAAGCCGACAACTTTAGCGTGTTTTGATTTCTTTAGGACACAAAGTTATCATTTAAAGCCTTTTTGGAATATTTTTGTGGAAATTGAGTTAAATTTTCGTTAATAATCATGTATTAAATGACAAATTGTCTGGATTTGTGAGTCAGACGTGAGAAATTGTCCTTGATGCGTGAGATTGATGTCTTTAGTCCGCAGGCGTGAGACTCGCGCGTAACGCGTGAGAGTTGGCAGGTATACAAAGGTATATAACGCATTTCTAAGGTAAAGGAACCTTAAAGTTCTAGTGTAACTTCAGCTAATGCAATTCCTACCTCAGTTATAAATCTTCAAGTAGTCTTGATACTTCTCTTGATTTGTAACGCCGAACGGCTCTACGAAGAAATCATACTTTGTAAGACAAGTTTAAGTATAAAAGTCAATTCCCTTTTCCTTCACAAAATAATAGTACTTGTACAAAACTTACCTAAAGCAACAATCACCCTGCTACCAAGAAAAAATTGAACCTATGGGATTTTTCCCTTCCTTTAGCTTTTACTTTCACTCTTCATACGTCAACAAAACCAACTGACGCAAGTGCTTCCAGCATTATAGCTCTCAAAATGCAGCCATCCATGAAAATTTGAAACCAATGAAGTATATAAGGGGTCACAGTAAATCTAACATACAGTTATTAATATTTCTTCAAAAAATTAATTAATAATTCATGAGCTTAACAACCTATCACGTCTGCTAAAATCCGCACGTGCTCGTGTTTTAAACTCCGGTAAAACACTGTCAAACTAAAAAGCCTGGGGGCG